GCCCTGGGTTCTAGGCAGTCATGGGGGTTAAAAATGCCCAGTAGTCTCTTTGAGGCGTCTAGAAGAGGAAAAATTCTCCCTGTGAGACATAGATGCCTGTGCCCCGCAGCATTATGGAACTCCATTGCAGCTGGCATGGTACAAACATTATCCAACAGTGCTCTCTGCTGTCATAGCACTCCACCCACTTCAGGGAGTTTCTGCCATCACCTTCATACACACATCCTCCAATTGCATACATTCTACCACAGCAGCACACTAGTTTGCAGTCTATTCTGGCTTGAAGCAAGGATAGCTTGGATAGCCATCCATTGGTGGAATGGTCATACATCCAAAAAGCATGTTCTGCCTTCTGATCGATGGAGACTTCACTGCTGCTTGGCCTGCACCCTCCTGCAATGTAAATGTCGTTGTCTGGTGACACAAGAATCCCAACTTCTCTTAGGTCATTTGATGGTTTGCATAGTATATGATTAGTATGGAAGGAATTTGGAAGATGCTAGCTGTAATGAACAAGGCTTGGACATTGGCCTCTGTCAAATTAACTCTAGAGGCACAGGCATAATTAAATACTAAATCCATCAATACAGCTTCACCACTGATGATTTGACTTCTTTCTGGGTATGTTCTGTAAGGCCGCTAGTGAGCATGGATCTGAAGTAGGGGCTGATTGAAGCAAGAACATGTCTATGACAGGAAAATGTTTGTGATCTACTTCCACTACAATGTCTGTCAACTGTCCATCATCATACATTGTTTTGAGTTGCTTAAGAATACTGCAAGCATGGAAGGGGTCTATGGCTTCACTGGTTTTATCTGAAGATGGAATCCCATTTGTTGTTGGGGAAGACTTACTTAAATCTGCCAACACGGCCACTTATCCAAGGGGCCCTGAGAACCTTAGTCTCTTAGCCCATAAGCTGCAGATGTATCAACTACTCTGGGGTGATTAGAATATTGCAGTGATCAACATATGCAAAATGCATAAAATATTGAGTAAATGTTTCCTTTCCCAGTAGCAGAAACATCTAGAAGAAATCTCATTTACCTAAAACATGTATCTCTGAATTAGCAATCATTTTAAGGGTTTCCATTTTCTACCATAGCCACTTAAGAGCAAATGTCATCCTGGCTAATTTAGAGTCCAAAGGGATTCAAGACTCACCTGCAGAGCTATGAAAGCTAAATGCATATGATCAATATTAGGTGCCGTCACACAGGTAAAGTTGGGTAGATGAAGATTCCCTCAAGGGAGCTCACTTCCCTCAAGGCTTGCCTTGTCTCAGACCTGAGCCTGTCATTTCCAATATCCTCATAGAAGGCAGTGTAGGTACCCTGCTCTCCCCTTGCCTTGAACAGAGATGATGAACCAGTTCAGGAGGCCTGTTCTCTGTGGTTTTATCTAGGGGCTCCTCAATGGGGTATGTCCTTGACCCCCAAGACCCAAGAGATCACTCTGGTTCTGCTTATTGAATCTTCCCCTTCTCACAAACTCTCAGTCCAAACCCCTGGAAGCTTAATTCTTACTCCCTGACTGTCTTTTGTGGGCCTGCTTGATGCCCAGAACATGACAGCTGGCCACAGATGACTCAACTCTACACACAAGCACTGCCTAGGCACCTGCTGTGTAAGCTGAGTTCTGGGCCCAAGGTGGGGAAAGTCCCACCGTTTTGATTCAAAGGGCCCAGCAATCTGCATCCTCCTCCATTGAGAGTACCATATCTTCTGTAAAAGAGGTAGAAAGATGGCTAAGACAAGACAACTGATATCAGGGATACAGACTTAGGGAGTAGGTGAACCAGCCGAGTCCAGTGTGAGAAAGATTCTCACATCTAGAGACCTGAGCTGGAGAGGGTCACAGGGTTATGTAAGGACTGTCTCTTTGTAGAAGGCTAGCAACCCCTGCAGCCCCTGGAACTGATGCTTATGACAGTATCTGTGTTGCCATATTTGAATCGAGTGTCTTAGGGAAGACAAACCACACCATTCTTGTTTGTGCAGAGGAGAGAAAGTCTAAAAACCATAATTCAAAAAGACATGTATGACAGTTCTCCAGTCTCAGGGGCTACTTGCTGAGAACCTCTGGGTGCCCAGCACTATGTAAGGCTCTACTCGAGGTCTTTTATTTTTAGTATGTTAGTGTTTGTGTATGTCTATATGAATTATGCTGTGTGTGGATCTGCTGGAGTTACAGGTGGTTGTGAGTCACCTGATGTGGGGGCTGGAAACTACACTCAGATCCACTCAAAGAGTAAGATGCACTTAACTGAGTCACCTCCCCAGCCCCTACCCAGGGTCTATTAGGGTGCTTCCACAACTCTGCAAGCTTGCGAGTGGTCTCTCCATCTCACAGTTGGGAAAACTAAGGTTCACAACAGAGAAATAATATATGTGAGGTTAGTCAAATGTCATGTGAGATGATGGCCTACCCCAAATAACCAAACATCCTGTAACCCATTCAAATTCACTGAAAAATAGTTTGAATTAAAAAGGAACAGCAAACAGTGAAAAGTATTTAAATGTAATTCTTAAAAATTATAAGTTACATAAGTACTGCAAAACCAGTCCCAGGGGATTCTAAAATTGCCAACTCTTAATGTTTTTTTGTTTGTTGTGTTGTTTTGTCTTTTGGTTAAATCAGACTATACAGTTTCACATTTAGATATATCCTTTCCAACCAGATCACCAGTGTTCCCCTCGCCCACCCCCACCCCCATAAACACATATGGCTTGTCATTCAATGTGTGTGACTCTTCCTGCTGAGAGTGTGTAGCTCTTAGTCACTGCCAGGATGAAATATCTTGAAGTCTCTCCACAAGCTATGGCTTTCATCATTTCTCAGAAGACAGGCCACCTAATAACTCCCTGGCTGGTAAAAAATGTGGTACCCAAGAGGAGACTGGGCTATAGTCTCCCTTTCACAGAGCCAAGAGAGTCATCCTCCTGTCAAAAAAAATAGAATGACTGGATGGTTCCCAGCAGGTGGGAATGGCAGCAGGGAGTTGGCTCATAATGAAAAAACTGGGTGTGACCTTCATCTTGGTCTCCCAACTCCCCACCCAGGTGACTTGCACAGCTGGTAGAAAACCTCAGCAGGCTGTGACTATCCCAGTGTGTTTGGGGGACACCCACAATACCCTCACAGCCCTCTTGAAGCTTCAATGGTTTCTCCCTAAGACAAGATTGCTTAGAAGTTCAGTGGCATAAAGTGCTTATTAGCTAAGTAGTTAATAAGGTCTCATTAGACACTTAAGTTTCTAGTCTCAGACAATGCAGGCTGAATCTCGGCTCCATCAGGAGGCAGGTACTGTCTGTGGGTGTTGAGCACCCCTCATCTCCTTTCTGGGAGAGTGATATGAAGTCAGTTCACATCATAGGAGGCTGGGTGGGCAGTACCTAGTGGGAAAACTAGCCTCCCTCCCCTCTTTATTTTTAAGCAAACCTTGTGTTCTGCAGCCTCTGCTTGAGGGGCAGAGTTGGGTGCCCCACTAGGGGATGGAACATCAGACAAGCAATAGCTTATTGTTCTGAGCCAATATGCCTGAACCTTCCTAGAAGGAGTGGGATTTCTTGGCTTGTGCAGGTTCCTCAAAGTGGAAAGAGGTTCTGTCAAAGCAGAATTCTAATCTTTCCCAGGCTAGACCTGTAGGTAAGGGTGGGGCTGAGGAGGTGCCTGGCCTGACAGTTGCTGCTCATAGTCAAGACACATAGGCTTTGCACAGGCTGAGGAGGCCCCAACCTATACTACCCCCAGAAGCCTGCAGCCATGTTCCTTATAGTTCTCAAGAATCCTCCTCATATGGAATGACTACCAAACTGCTCTTCATGGTACAGCTTCTAGACTAAACAAAGGTGTGAGGGTCTCTGGCCTTCTCTCCTGCCTGCTCAGCTTCCTTTCTGTCCACCCCCATGATATCTGCTTTGTCTGGGATCTGAAGAGTTAGCATCCAATGCTGGGGTGGCTCTGCTCCAGGAGCTGGGGGTCCATGCTTGTTTGCAGTTCCCTGGATCCCCTGCTTTGTTCTCAAGCCTGGTTGTTATCACATTAGACATGGCTCCCAAGAGCAGCCTCAGATTTGGATGGAAGGCATTGTTTTATCACATAAGACTCAGTGTTACTTGAGGCAACTTCTACCAGAGTCCTGGCAGCCTAAATGGCTGCTAGTTCTGGCCACTCCTCTCAAGAAGTTGGATTTGGAAGGCAGCAAGGTCTTGGAGCCTCCCTCAAGAGCCTGGGAATCAATCACAAACAGTCCTTCTGGCCTTTGGAGCTGTGTGTTATTCACCTCCTGTCAGAGCACACAAAGCCTTCTCATTGTGGTCTGTCAGAGATACTAGGAAGGAAGGGGCTTAGTGGGCTTGGCTGGGCCTGGTTGTTTGATTATTTGAGCTGTTCAGTAATGCTTGTCTGTAGCCATCCCTCCAGAACCCCATCTACTGGCTGCTTTGCTTGGCCACTGGGCAGGTCATAGGGCAGAGCTAAGTAAGACCTAGTACCTTTCTATATGGGTTCCAAGGCATGCCACAAAGCATTGAGCTCCTGGACTTGGTTCACTCATTTAGGAAAATGCAGATCTTTGCATCTTAGAATACAAACCACAGACCCGTTGTGTACAAACTCCCTTTCCCAACCCCTGGCTGTAATTCCATTGTCTGTGATTTTGTTGTTTGTTCTTGGGTTTGTTTGTTGGTTGGTTGGTTTTCTGAGTTGGGGATAGGATCTCATTCTACAATTCAGGCATGTGTCACTGTGACTGGCTTACCTCTGTGTGTTTGACCACACTGCATAGCTCATAGGAGTAGGAATGTGTGCCTTTCCCTTTTGCAACCACCGGTTTGGATGCTTTCCTTCTGTCCATTTCGATAACTCTGGTGTCCACTCCTGGTGGTTTGCTTCACTTCTGGGGACTCTGGGGTTCTGCTTCCCCCTTGCCCTGTGTTCCTGCTGGGTGCTAACTGCCTTTCCTTTTGTCTGTTTCCTCACTTCTGCCCTTGGCTAGCTGACAGTAGGGAAAGTGTCCAGCGGAATAGGGGCTGCAGCTGAAGTTCTGGTCAATCTGTACTTGAATGATCACAGACCTAAGACACAGGCCACCTCTCCAGACCTGGTAAGGAAATGCGCTGGCAGGTTCCACCTGAAGATATTTGCCCAACCTCCCCAGACAAGAGTATGGGAGGAAGCAAAGGTGCCCTTTCTCAGGGAACAAGGGGTGCTGAAGGTAGGCTGGGTCCAGCAGAGGCTGGGGGAAGCTGCATTTCCTCAAAGACTGACTCCACGTAGGTCCTTGTGTTCACTTTCCAGCAAAGACATGCTCGCTGCTATCTGTGGCTTTCAGGATCTATTCAGCATCAGGCCCGCAGGTCTGTTGGACAGGTCCCTCACCTTCAGCACTTAGTGTCCAACCTAATCAGACCTGAAAGCTGAGACATTCGAAGCAGGGCGGGCACATCTTCACTCTGGTTCTCTCTCTCCTCGCTCTAAGTGGCATGTTGCCATCAGCAACGCTGTGCGCTGATTGTTGATCTGGTTTCCTCTGGACTCACTGACCTGGAATTGCCCAGCATCAGCCTGCTCCAGCCCTTCCCTTCCCCACTGCAAGTGTGGAGGAAACAAGCTCCCCTTTCCTTCACTCTCTTGAATAGATCTGAGGTCACACCCATCCTCACTTGACATATGCCACACCCTGTCTCGGTTCTTTTTCCCCATTGCGATGGACTACCCTGACAAACCTAACTGTAGAGCAGAGAGTCTAATTAGCTCACTGTTCAAGGCACAGTCCACTATAGCAGGAAGTCAAGCAGGAACTTGAAGCAGGTGGATACATTGCAGTCACTATCAGGAAGCAGAGAAAGATGGATGCAAGCTTACCGCTGCTCCATCTGTGCAGTCCGAGCTCCTAGTCAGAGAATGGTCTTCTCACCTCAGTTAACTATTCAAGGTTACCCAACACAAGCATACCCAGAGGCTCCTCTCCCAAGTGGGACTGGATTCTGTCAAATTGACAACTAGTGCTGACCATACACATTATCCCAGTAGTACCCAGTGACATTTATGCTCTAGGACAGATGGCAAGAAACCAACACTAGGTAGACATATTCAAGCAATATGTCCACTCATTTAGATCAGCCTGGGGGAGAGCCCCTGCATGGACCAGACTGTGAAGAGTATGTCTTCCTGCCCCCATACTCATTTGCAGTGATATAAGCAGCAGCCAGGAGCCCTGAAGATGCTGTGATTTGATTAGGAATTTCAACATCCCTAGGCCTGGCCTTTAAAGACTTATTCAGCCCTAGCACATTGTTCTTTTCTCCTGATCCCAGGAATCCATGAAAAAGGCATTTCCCCTGAGCCTGGGCGGCAGCGACACCTGCTACTTTTGTAAGAAGCGTGTGTACGTGATGGAGCGGCTGAGTGCTGAAGGTCATTTTTTCCATCGTGAATGCTTCCGATGCAGCGTCTGCACCACCACCCTGCGCCTGGCTGCCTATGCCTTTGACTGCGACGAAGGTAACCCTGGGGGCCAGGATAACACTGGTCTTGGCCTCTGTCTTGGATGTGACCTTGTTCTGGGGTTCCAACCCTCAGGAGGCTGAAGGACACCCAACACTTATCAACAGGGAGTATGGTATCATCAAGAATGCTACTTAGAGAAACTGGAAGACCCTACTGTAGACAGCAGAAGCCATGGGACCTACAGTGCACCAGGCACAGTGACACCTACTGACTGCTGAGGACCCTCACTTTTTTCTCTTAGCCCCACCACTTCCCATGGTGCCTGTGAGGCCAAGATAACCAAACCCGATGAACTGTGTGATATGCCTAGAATTATACCTGCGTAACCCTGGAGCTGTTATTTAAATTCTTAGTTCCTCAGTTTCCTCATCTACAGAGGATGATGATAGGACCTGTGTGGATGCTGCATACCAATGATCCCAGAACCCTAGAGGCAGAGAGGATAAGATTCTGAGTTCTGGAATGGCCTAAGCTCAGATGAAGAAAACAAAGAAATAATAGTTCTTAGTTTATGAGAATGTGGAAGTTATATGCAGTATTTATTAGGTTTTCCCTTCATCACCATCATTATTGGTGCTCTCCTAAAAGGTACCCAGTGGTCCTGGGCAGTGGCTGCTTTACCCAACATGTACCCTGCCTGAGTCTTTTCTCTCATCACTGATCAGCTGTACTGACCCTCAAGATTTCAGGAAGAACTGGGGTGGGGTGGGGTGGGGGGGTTGATTCTTGGAGACACCTATTTTTCTCCCTGACAACTGGTCTTGTGAAGAAATCTAACTTCTGTTTGGGTTGGGAGTCAGCTGAGGGTTTTAGCCCCACTCAGAGAGTCCCTCACTGCCAGCACCTTCTCTGAGGGAGGCAGCAGAGTGTTACTGTCTGTCCTTGGTGCCACTTTAGGACAGGCAGATAAGCCCCTGCTCATGTCTGAGCTGAGCTGATTTCCATGGCTGTTGTGTTGACTGGACAGTGATGAGCATTTGTTCCCAAGGTTCTGTCTACAGAAAAAAAAAAAAAACCACATGTGTGCATGTCTCTTCTCATAGGCAAATTTTACTGCAAGCCCCATTTCATTCACTGTAAAACCAACAGCAAACAACGCAAGAGACGAGCAGAGCTGAATCAGCAAAGAGAGGTATGTTGATCTCAACAGTGCTGAGAGAACAGGAACCCCTTGATGAGGTCTCTAAAGGCAACCTCAAAGTTAGACTTCTCTAGCACTGAAGGGATAGGACTGCTCCCAGATTAATAAGGGTCCCCTTCTAGAGAATTCTTTAGTCTTAGTCTGTTCAGCAGCCTCTGGGTTGGCCCTGTTTCGGACTCCAGCTCCCTGATAGGTGCCTAGCTCCTTCTGAGAAGTGAAGAAATGCTGACAGGTGTGTCAAGACTGAGCTATATGCTGAACTGTGCAGAAGCCCAGGAACCACAGGACACTGCTTATAGGAGGAAGGGCAGGTTTCTGGGTCCCTTCCTAGGCTTTTAAAGCAGCCACTGAATTTATCCATGGTTTGTGGTAGTACCCCCTCTGGCAGCTCTTAGGAAATACCTTCTCTACAGTTTGACGAATCACCTAGCACTAACTGAAACCCACAACTTGAACTTTCCTGATGATACAGTCATAGGCTCACTATAGGAAAATAAGAGAGTAAATAATAGTAAAGAGGGAGGGGAGAAAGTGGAAGAGGGAAAAAGAGGGGGGTGGAGGCTGACAATTCAGGAGTGAAATTTTGGTTTTGGTTGTTTTAATTGAGATAGGATCTCACTATGTAAACTTGACTGGCCTGGAACTCGATAGTTAGACTGGGCTGGCCTCAAAGTCCCAGAGATCTGCCTGCCTCTACCTCCTGAATGCAGTGATTAGAGGCGTGTGCCACCACACCTTGCTTAGGAGTAGAATGAAAGACTGTATTTTATGCATGGTCAGCGTCTGCTCCAGTAGTTCCATGCTGTTGGGCTTTTTTTTTACACCATTTAATGCTTTCATACTTGCAAAGATTTTTACCATAAATATATTTCCATACAAATCTTAATCCCTATTTCAAATTATTCATGTACTACATAACAATACAAGTAGGTACACAGGGTCAAAGGGCTTGCATATCTTTAAGGCTGGTGAATGGTTTGGTAAGTTTGCCGTCTTAACAACTTGTGCCCACATTCAACACCAGTGGGAGCCACCCCAGTTAGAGTTTCACTGCTCAACCTGCTCTGTTGGAGGCAGCCTCTGAGATGATTGGACTAAGTGCATTTGCTTTGCTGTCTTTCTCAGGAGGAAGGGACATGGCAGGAGCAGGAAGCCCCTCTGAGAGACACACCCTCGGAAAGCTCTTGTGCGGTGGCGGCCATCAGCACGCCAGAAGGCAGCCCCCCAGGTATCTCAACCTCCTTCTTTAGGAAGGCCCTGAGCTGGCCTTTCAGGCTGACAAGAGGCCTGCTCGACCTGCCCCGGAGCCTGCTCAGGTGGATGCAGGGACTCTTGAATGCTGCTGGCCACCATGTCAGGGACAATGCTTACAACTACTGCTTCACGTTTGAGGTCTTGAGCCTGGGGCTGCTACTTCTCTGGGCCTTCTCTGAGGGCCTGGCCGCCATGTACAGGGAGTCTGAGGAATCCCTGGAGAGCATCTGCAGCTGGTTGCTCAGGTTCATCCCAGTGAAGTTGCAGTGAGGTGCATGTTGCCCCCACAGTGCCCTAACATTTCCAAGTGTAGACTGCGACATTGGTAGCTGGCTCAGGCTCTGGCCAGTGTCTGCAACCATTAGCTCCAAGCCAAAGAGTCCCGTCCTGGCCACTTCCACCTGGCTTTGACAGGGTCGAGCATCTATTCACGGTGCTAGGGCCAGGGACAACATGAAGGATATTTTTAAGACAAAACAAACCAAAACAGCTTTGTATTGTTTTGTCTTTTCATACCAAAGCGAGCCATATTTCTAGGTTTACATTTCAATTTTTAACTTTTCATAAACCAAAAAGAAAGCATTATTTTTCTACAAGTATCAATACTTCCAATGTTTCAACTTTTATCACCCATTTTACAAGGCCTTCGAACTTAGCAATGAATTGAGATTTGTTGCTGCCAGCAAAGTTAATGAGATGAGACTTTAGAGCCGCAAAAGAGAAAGGGGCATCACCAAACCAATGCCTTTTGATTTCTGCATGCAGAGCCTACATATTCTTAGTGGGTGCTGCATTTGTTTTCAAAAACACATATATGTAAAATCAGTAAGGATGAAAGTAGTAAGTAGAGGGGTAGAATAATCCACAATTAGCCAAAGCACACAGCAGTGTGCCAATGCTATCTGTCCTCAGGGCCCGGAAGAGGTGTTTTACTCCTATCTTTTGAAGTCAGAAAGTAGCTTAAAAGCTTTCCCTTATGCCCACCCAATCACAGCCAATGGCATAGAACCACGGGGCTACTGCACTGCAAACATACATTTTCCTCCCATCAATGGGTACTGCAGTGAAGCCTGTTGGCACTTGGCCCTGAATAGCTTTTAGGCTGATGTAATGTTGAGGATAAACTATTTCAGATGGTGTCCTTTTCACCCCTATCAAGTCCCCAGCCCAGGCTGCAGGCCGAGCCAAAGCCACTGAGGTCCATCGTGGTCAGGCTGTCTCTTCCTGGTGTCCTTTGAACCTGAGGATACTTGCCGGCCCTGATCAATGAGCTTTGATGGTGGTACCCTGGCTTCTCAGTCATGTTTCACCTATACAATCAGAGACCCTTCTCCTAGTGCCTCAGAAAAAGAAGAGTGTCTGGGTTTGGGGTAGTTTTGAGCTCATACACGTATTCTACACTGAGTGTCTAGAAAAGCCTACAGCTGCCTCCACCCAACTCTGATGCTCAGCTCCTGTAGCAGGTTGACCAGCTGGGAGGTTGATAAGGGCCTTCTAGGTACTCAGGGTATCTACAGTCACTGGGTACCATACCGCTATGGAGAGCTGTGACCACTAGAGTGCCCTCCAAGATTAAGAAGGTCTGGTTAAAGACAAAGCGTCTTGAAAGCTTTGACATAAGTTTATGTAAGGTAGGGAAAGAGGGGTACATTTCTAGAGAGTCTGTTCTGAAATCATGGGAAAGACAGAGCATGACTGTGATGAAGTCTATGGGAACCAGCACCTCTGACCTCGCTGGAACTGTTGCCAGCATGATGACGTACATTGTATTTGCCCTGCTTGTAGCTGGGGTTTTAATGGTCAAGCCTGATGGGAGAAGCCCTTGAGTCCTATTATGTTTCATTATGCCACACAAACTCTTGAGGTCATATTACAGTGATTTTCTCCAGCTCAGGGTGGGCTGAGATGCACTGTGGAATGCTCTGGGAATCCAGAGTGAACTCTCTAAAAAATGTCATTTATAATCATAAGGAGCTGGTTTGAATTACTCTGGTAGACAGGGTGTGTCTGTCACAAGGCCTAGACATCCGTATGCTTTGAGACCTTGAACCTTCCTGGTGGGCAACAGCAGGGGCAGGTCCTGGGAGACAGTTACTCCAGAAATGAATTTGCCTGAAGGATGAGTGTGAAACCCCAGGGCACAATGGACACAGAAGGCCTGGTGGGGCTGAAGAGCCTGGGAACATTTGTGGACAAGAGTGGGGTTCTATGAATATGCAGGCCCAGTGCGTCCAAGCTTGGAAATGAATGGCTGGCCGCCACCAGGAAGGTCTGTCTCTCCCAAGCACGCAGTTGTTTGTGGCAGGACAGTGGCTGCTCTGTTTCCACCTCGAGTGCCTTTTCCTCTTGTGATTTGGACTTGTTTTACTCCCTCACTAAGTCCTCCTTTCTGTCTTTCTCTTTCCAACCTCACACTGTGGCCGCCAGTGCGTTTCAGCCTTCCAGTCCTACACCCACTTCTTGGCTGACACTCCTGCTCTAAGGTGACTGATTTTCTTGGCAATTTTCAGAGAGAGGTACTAACCCCTACCCTGCTTCCTGCACCTCTTCCTCTGCGTCGGTGGCACTGGTAGCACTAACGGTGTCTTGCATACTAACGGACCTCCCTAAGGCATGAGTGGACAATAGCATGGGGTGGGGGTCAGCTTGAAAGCCATGTTCTACATTCCCCTTTGGAGCCCAGCCAGTAGCCTGGGTCCACAACAAGTGCATGCCCCCTCACTCTGCCCCCCCATCTCTGCCACCTTGGGCTGGCCTTTATGCATGCTTTCTCAGTTGCACCTTCAAAGCCTCTTGTCATCTTGGGAGGGTTCACCATGATCACGAGACAATATCATATAAGAAGGGTTCTGTGGCCTTTGAAAACTTTTCTGCTTAGTGACCTTTTAGAAAGGACAAGTCTAGGAATATCTTCTTCAGTCAGTTCTAATACAAAGATTACTGATACCTTTGATTGGAACCATAATTGACTCAGTGTGGTGAGGTTTTAAGAGTAGACTTGGTCCCAGACTCTGTGTGGCCAGCCTGACCCATGTCTTGTGCAGTGAATACAATGAATCTAGCAAGCCCGCCCTCTGTTTCAGCAGTTAGTCCTAGGGCTTTGCCATGCATTTCATATGCCTCTGGGCTCTTAAGTCCCTACTGGTTCACAAGCTTTAATCAGAGCAGTCACGGTCACAGGAAAAGGGCTGGCTTTCAGAAATAATGCAGGTCAGCAGGTCCATGATCCTGTCAGTCTCTCTAAAGCATATTCCCTCTGCTCATTTACCTGGAACACTGGGATGGTCGTGTGCTAATACAAAAAGCAGTCACACAGAGGGCAGAGAGCAAATGCCAGTCCAGCCCCACAACCCCAGACTGCAGTCAGAGTCTGTCTCTCCTGTAGCTAGAGCTGCCCTGCCCTTCAGCTTCTGCCCAGCCCTGCATGCTGCACTTGCTTGCTGCATTGGAGCAGAGCCCAGCCAGTACAAAGCCCTCTCCTCTCCTCTCTTCTCTTCCAGCATTTCCCTCTCTAAAATGTCAACCAAAGAGAGCCCCCCCCCTTGCTCTCAGCCTCTTTAGCTAGCCTCCTCCCCATCTCATGGCAAGGCATGTCTGTGACCCTAGAGAATTCATTTACAGTGCCATATGGAACCTGTATTTTACACACAGCAAAACAATGTTTAGGTTTATTTATGATATTTGATGCTGTAAGTGAAAATAAATATGGTTCTTTATAAAGCTCATTGTTTCCTCTCTTCTTTGCCGTGGGAGCTTCTAAACCTCAAACACAGGCCCGGTTTAGGGGATATGTCCTCTCCTAAACCGCTGGCGGGGCTTGCACTTGTGGTGGTGACCCGGGACTCTGTGGGGCTGTGCCAGGGCAATCTGAAATATTACCCAAAGGTAATATTTGGAAAAATGTCACCAAAACTCTGGGACCAGGCTTTGGGATCTCTTCCTTAAAATGTGTGGTACTTTGCTGTTCTAGATGCTGGGTAGAGGAGGACAGGGCCAGTGTGACCTCAACTCTTAGGAACAGGCTGTGTTGACAGCTGTCTGGACACATTTCCCTGGCACCTGCAGATCATGGCTCTGTAGGAAGGCTTTTCCAAAAGCCCCACCTGTTTTGATTCTTATAGAGAGAGAGAAAAAAAAAAAGGAAGTCTTTTCATGGTTTGTACTGGTCCATCAAAGTGATGGGCAAAAAGTAAGGAGGAAGGAGTGGGCATCAGTCTCTGGAAGGCAGACAACCAGCAGCTATGCTCATCAGTGCCCTCTGCTATGAGGTTCGGCCCACCTGGTCACTCTGAACACAGTGCCCGGCAGGCTCTGCCCAACTCCACTCTGTTTATAGGAAGGACTTGGAGTCTCCCTTGACTATCCTGAACAGTGCCAGATCTCCCCATGGAGGAATTTCTGTCTGGCAATCACCAGACTGGATGGGGTTGAACTTCTAGTATGGCATAAGTGGTCCCCTGAGGACTGTGAGGGCCCTGGCATCTCCCAGAGATGCCACTCTCCAACTCATTTGCTGGTGCTTGTGTCTGCCTTCATTGCCACCTCGGATTGTGACCCAGGGCCCGTCTCCTCCTCTTCAAGGTGGAGGGGTGGGCAAAGGACCAGTTCCTTTGCCTAAGCAACAGTCATTGCCCGAGGCATTATTCTGGGTGCAAGAGACATAGCAGTGGGCTCCAAAAAGCCCACTGGCTCCCGGACATCTAGGAAATGTGTGCCTTAGGTTGCATCAAGTTCTGTTTTGTCTTGTCTATGCTCCCATTCTTTCATCTGTTCACCTCACTACTAAGCACCTGCTGTGTGGCAGGTGATACAGCTAATCTGTCAGTCTTTCTACATCTTGAAGTCTTAAGTCTCTGATAGAGTCCTCCAGTAAATAAGTGTAATTAACCGTTTAAATTGGCTTTCTCTTACCTGCTTGGAGAGTGTCTTGGTTCGATTTGATTTAACTATTATTGTAACCATACATAGCTGGTA